TACTGCATCAGAAGCCTCTAATGGCACTCCTCCAGGGTCTAGTGGACTGGATTTTCAGGAATGGATTGATGATATGCAACTGGAAGAGCATAAGGTAGTTGGGGAATGTTTTACTTGGGTGAATAAGCAAACAAGAAACCCTATAGCTCGTAAATTGGATAGAATCTTTATGAACAGTCACTGGTTAACTAAATTTCCAAATAGTATTGCTAGTACTATTACTCCAGGCACACACTCAGATCACTGTGGGTTACTTTTGAATTCATCTCCTAACCAGAAGACACTACCTAAGCCTTTTAGGTTCTTCAATTTCTGGAGTGATCATCCAAAGTTTCAGGAGATACTGCAAGAAGTATGGAATACTAGGGTTACTGGTTATCCATTCTTCAGAGTGTGCCATAAGCTGAGATTACTGAAGCAAAAGCTTAAGGAGTTTAATAAGGAGTTCTATTCAGACATATCCTTAAGGGCTAGAAAGGCAGAGGAAGATCTGAAGGCTATTCAGCAAAAGGTGTTTAGTGATCCATCTCCACAGCTGTTTGAAGAAGAAGCCAAAGCAGTAGCAGAGTGTGTCATGTTTCAAAAAGCAGAAGAAGGTTTTTATAAACAGAAAGCCAGGGTTCAAGCTGTAACTGAAGGGGATCAAAATACAGCATATTTCCATCAGTCACTAAGGGTAAGACAGCATAGGAATCAAATCTCTATCCTTAAGCAAGATGATGGTAGTTCTGTTACTGATGTTGATGAGATTGGAAGAGTAGCAGTAGAATTTTATAAGAAATTGCTAGGGGAAAAGAATCAGGAAGTACAATGTTGCTCAGTAGAAGAGATGGAAAAAATACTGGTTAATAAAGTGAGTCATGTGGATACAGAGCATCTTTGTGAAAGTATATCCAAGGAGGAGATAAAATCTGCTTTGTTTGAAATGGGGACTAATAAGTCCCCTGGGCTAGATGGTTACACAGTGGAATTTTATAAGGCAGCCTGGTCTGTAGTGGGAGAGGATATCACAAGTGCAATTAGCTCTTTCTTCCAAACATGTTTTCTACCTAGGGAAATCAACTCGACAGTGCTGGCTCTTCTTCCAAAAGTGGTTGGGGCAGATCAGATGAAGCAGTTTAGACCTATCTCTTGTTGCAATGTGCTCTATAAGTGCATTGCCAAGATTTTAGCCAGCAGGCTATCCACAGTTCTTCCACAGTTGATAAGCAAAAGCCAATCAGCATTTGTACAAGGAAGAAGCATCAGTGATAATATTTTGATGGCTTCTGAGCTGGTAGCAGGTTATAACAGGAAACACATTTCACCTAGGTGCACAATGAAGATCGACCTAATGAAGGCCTTTGACTCCATAGATTGGGAGTTTCTGTTTACAGTAATGACAGCTATGGGGCTTCCTACACAATTTGTTACCTGGATCAAGGTATGTGTCTCTTCCCCTATGCTTAGTGTTGGGATAAATGGGGGGATGTGTGGATATTTTCCCTCAGAAAAAGGCCTACGCCAAGGGGACCCCTTGTCCCCATTCCTATTTTCAATAGCCATGGAAGTGCTAACCTGTATACTGAATAAGGGAGCAGAGTCTGGTGAATTTCCCTACCATCCTCGCTGTAAAAAACTAGGAATCACTCACTTAGTATTTGCTGATGACCTATTACTGTTTTCAAATGGTTCTACAAAAGCTGTGGAGAGTGCAAAAGGTTTGCTGGACAAATTCTATAAACTATCAGGTTTGAGGTTTAATCCAGAAAAAAGCCAGTTATTTTGTGCTGGGATTGAAGAGGCTGATCATGAAAGACTGGCTCAGTTGGCTGGGTTCCAGAAAGCTATGCTGCCTGTTCGCTACCTAGGTGTGCCTCTAATAGCAGGGAAACTAACTACAAATGACTGCAGAGTTTTAGTGGAAAAGATCACAAAAAGAATAGCTGGTTGGAAACCTAGATTGCTTAGTTACGCGGGAAAATTGCAACTTATAAACTCTGTGCTGAGTAGTCTCTCTTTTTACTGGATGAATGTTTTTATTCTCCCACTGTCCATTATAAAAGAGATTGAACAGATATGCAGCAAGTTCCTATGGGGGATAACTGATGATTCTATAAGGAAGAAAGCTGTTATGGCTTGGGGGTTATTGGCAATACCAAAGAAAGAAGGGGGGTTAGGCATCAGGTGCCTAAAAACATGGAATGTGGCCTGCACAACAAGGCATATCTGGGCTATACTAGCAAAAGAAGGATCCTGGTGGGTAGCATGGAATTACCAGTATCGAATCAAGAATTTAACATTTTGGGAATTGGGAAAATGTAGTACTGCATCCTGGGTTTGGAAGAGACTGTTAAAAGTAAGGGACAAGGTGGAAGGATTCTTCAGATGTTGGGGGACTCAAGTGTTTTGGAATGACAAAAGGGTGCTGAAATATTCTGTGAAGCAGGTTTGGAATGATTTGCAGCCGGTTAGGCCTAAAGTGGACTGATACCAGCTAGTGTGGGAGAGGCACTCGATCCCAAAGCATAGTTTCTTAAGCTGGATTATAACAAGAAATAGGATTACAACTCTTGCTCAACTACAGAGTTGGGGGAAGATAGCAAGTGCAAATTGCTTATTCTGTTTGGCTCATTCAGAAGACAGGGATCATCTATACTTCCATTGTCAGTACACTTCCCAGGTGCTGAAAGGATGTCTGTCAATGATTAATCTGAATTGTCCCCAGTTAAATGGTTATGATGAGTATTTGCATTGGGCAGTCAGAATGTTCAAAGGAAAGAAAGCACTTGCCATGGTTGGAAGACTGGTTTGGAACCTAGTTGTGAGTATGATTTGGAGGGAACGATGTGGTAGATTGTATGGCAGTCCTGATGTACAGTTTGGGGAGTTGATAAGGACAGTGCGTAGGACGATTGAGCTTGCAAGGCAAGGAAATGCAGCTTTGGATGCAGATTGTAGGTTGATTCTTAGTCAGTAAATATGGAGTACAGGGTAGTTTTTTCTGGTTTTTCTTGTTTGCAGTGTATATGTAGTATAGTAGCAGAAGTTCCTTGTAAAACTTGCTGCTGAGTAGGTGTAATGACCCAGATGTTGTTTTTCCCTGTTTTAAGGGGAGCACATAGAGCTGAATAAATTTTTTTTATATTGCCCATAAAAAAAAAAAAAAAAGAATCGCTGCATCAACATTCCCTTCGAAGGTGTTCGTGCAAGATTTCTCCCAACCATAGTTTGGCTTATACCCCAGGATTTGCTCTTCTTTTTTCTGCAACGCTTTATATTATGCTAGATAGTTTTCTGATCTTGCTAAGATTTATCATTCTTCAAGTTTCAAATCATTGAATAGATGATTGTTGTGTTCTTTCCATATATACAAAAAATAAACTTCCTACTTTCACTCTTATTGTAGGAAATTTGAAATGGAGCAAACCAAGCCCTTTAAAATGCATTATTAATAGTGTAGATGCAGATGTATGTAAAAAAAATGAGGAGAGAGAAATAAAATTATTTTTCTTAATTTTTTTAGTATGTCCTAAAAGAATATTTAAATACCGATTTAAAATTTCCAAATTTACTCATGATTAAAATTAAGTCGAAAACAAGAATTTTGAAATGAAAGGTTCAATGGAGGATTTTGTTGAGTGATCATACAGTTGACCGAGCCAATCGACTCATCGCCAAGTCAAAATCACGTTGAAATGAAAGGTTCAATGGAGGATTTTGTTTAGTTGATCATTATAGAGTCGACCGAGCCAATCGACTCATCGCCCAAGGAAAGTGAATAGACCTGACAATCGGGTTGGGTAATTTTGGGTTGGAGAGTTCGGTTATGGTACAGGTCATGTTTGGTTGGCTAATTTCGGGTCAATTATTGACCCAACCCATTCGGTTTCGGGTCGGCTTACAGGTCATTTCAGGTTATGAGCGTTCTCAAAAACAATATCAAACATGCTTCATATTTTCTTAAAGAACACAAATTTTCACGTATGTATGAAAATAGTTTACTTAACACATGTCAATTAATATATTCTCAAATCCTCCCACGCTAATGAAATGAAATACAAATTGCGCAAATCATCAAAAAACAATCACAAGAGTAATACTGCTACAAGAAACACATGATATTTGATTATTCTTTAACTCCAAGCATGTCATTCAAATCATTTGTGATTTTTTTTTAAACATCTCACCAATTTATGAGTGATTTTTATCATTTTGGGAGTGATATATAAAATGAAACGGGTCGACCCGCTAACCCATCCAAGTCGACCCAAAAAATCAGAGGTTATCAAGTTCGGATCATTTGGATTTCGGGTTAAAAAATTTATAGTTTTCGGGTTGGCTCAACGAGTCGGGTTGTAATTAGCCAGATGTAAAGTGAAAAAGAACAAGTCTGGTCTGTACTTTGTATCCGTATTTCGGCTCCGTCCCACGTGCGCAAAACTCCAAAAAGCAAAAGTGCGCAGCAACTGAAGAAGGCATTTATTTATCCACGTCTTCCCCGTTTGCGGCCTCCAATCTGTTTCCCGTCACCATAATCTTGACTCCAACTCTCCAACCACAGACCCCAAACCCTTTTCACTTTCAGAAACAGAATTCAAATTAAAATATTTTTCTTTTATTTCCGCATTTTCCACCACTTCTGTTTTCCATCCACAGAGGCCTTTCTTCTACCATTTTCCCACTTTCCCTCACCAGAAGATTCCCTGAACTGAATCACGCAAAGCCGCCTTCCCCAAATCTTGCGAGCTGCCAGTTCGAATTCCTCTTCGCTGAGTGTCGCATGCGTAACCGACCGAGGATTCGCAGCTCTGCATCTGCTGGAGTTGGATTCTCCCTGCATACCGTGTCGCCGTTGTTTCTGCTGCCCCTGAATTGCTCACTGCTAGGGTTTCTTCCCCTGGATTCATGTTTTATCTAGCTAATGGTTATTCCCCTTCTTGGTCCCGCCTTGGCCCTCAATTCAGTTGGGCAACTGATTTCAATACCTTCGCCGCTGCTGCTTGTTCTTCGCCTCCTAAATGATTTTGCAGTCTGCTTCTGCGAGCTTCGACTTCTCCTCCTCTCTAAATCTTCTACCCCAGCTCTGTCCATGTAGGAATTCGTCACTAGCTGCCGGACATCCCTGTAAGAGGAGGAGGCGAGTCAACTTTAGGCGGCAATTCAGTTCTCGTGCTTGCGCAATCCCCAGCGATAGGTACGGTTATGGGAACTGCACTGTCAATATAGATGGCTTAGCCAGTTCCGCCAGACGGGGTGCTCAGAGCATCATTCTGGATCGAATTTCTGACGAGCTGGAGGATGAAATCCTGGGGCAGGATGAGTCTTCGTCTTCGTTTTCGTCTTCCTCGATGCAGATGGGATCCAAGTTTTCCAGTTACCAACAGGATCCAATGGTGGATAAGTTGAGGACTCATTTGGGGGTCATTCATCCAATTCCGTCGCCTCCCATTAATGGGAACCTTGCCTGGTTGTTTGTTTTCTTCTTCTTCGTAGGGGTGGTTTTTGATAAACTGTGGACCGCGAGGAGGAGGAAAGCGGGGAATGAAGATGGCCAGCTCGGGACGTGGCCGCAAGTTCCCACTAGCTTCTCTTTGTTCTTGGAGAAGGATTTGCAGAGGAAGGAGTCGGTGGAGTGGGTGAATATGGTGTTGGGCAAGTTGTGGAAGGTCTACAGAGGTGGAATTGAGAATTGGATCATTGGATTGTTGCAGCCGGTCATCGACGATCTGAAGAAGCCAGATTATGTCGATAGAGTTGAGATTAAGCAATTCTCATTGGGGGATGAACCATTGTCTGTCAGGAACGTAGAGCGCAGGACTTCTCGTAGGGCCAATGACTTACAGTAAGTTTATAATTTGTTCATCTATAATATGTTGCACCACTTTTAATGTTCCTAATTCCATGATGTAAATTCACACAAGTCACAGGGACTTCATATGAAAGTTTACATAGATACGAAAACTGAAGTTCAACTGGTGAAGAAAAACTTACGTGGATCTTGCTTTGGGCTGGGTCAAGTATTCGATTTAGTCTGAAAGTACAAAGAGTTTATAGTATTGGATTGAGTTCAAAGTAATGATACCGGATAATTGGTTAACTAACCAGAAGAGGTGTTCATCTGTATTACATATGCCTATTTACTACAGTGCGGTTAAAGTATTTAATTGGGTTAACTAACATCAAGAGTTTTTCATTATATCACATATACTCTTTCTAGTACATAGTGTGTTCTTGTCCTCAGGTTTGGTAAGAAACATCACTATATAGACAGTTTCACTACATTGAAAGATTAATATCCTTTTAACTTTTGTATCATGAATTTTTTAGGTATCAAATAGGCCTTCGATATACAGGTGGTGCTCGCATGCTTCTTATGCTTTCTTTAAAATTTGGAGTAATCCCGGTTATGGTCCCAGTCGGTGTTCGGGACTTCGACATTGATGGTGAACTTTGGGTCAAACTAAGGTTGATCCCAACAGCACCTTGGGTTGGAGCTGCTTCTTGGGCTTTTGTTTCACTCCCACGGATCAAGTTTGAATTATCACCTTTCCGCTTATTCAACTTGATGGGTAAGTATGGTTCTGAAACCGGCTGTTAGTGCGCTTATATTTCTATTTTACTCCAATAATATGTTAATGTACTTAGTATCATTATATTCTATGGTCTGATCCTGGACATCCCTCTTACAAAATGTCAGGGCGTATAGAGGTCAAATGCTTTTCGCTTTCTTTTATTTTAGGGCCTAAACAATTTTTATAAGCCACCAGGACATGCATGTGGTGTGGAGGCTAGTAATGGTCTTTTAGGATTGTTGAAGCTGTGGCGTTGTGCTGTCTGGAGAGGCTTTGTTGATGCCTGATGGTTCTAATGAATCTTGGGGTAGCTTAAAGGGGTATCAGAGAGAATATCTCCTTTTAAAAGATAATTTGCTCTCTGTCTTTGTTGTATGATTGCTTAACCGGAGTAATACATTATCACTTGTGTCAGGTAATCTCTAACATATTTGTGGAATTCATAAATGATGCTATAAATCCTGATACAAGTTTCTTTTCTTTTTGCATGGTTCCTGCAACATCAGCTATTCCTGTTCTCTCTAGGTAGGAGGAATTTTCTTCATATCCTGTCTTTCTGTTTTTACAAGGTTGTTCCCTTAATGTTTGGCTCCATATATGTTTGCACCCTAGTCCTTTGACTTGCATTCAGTTGGGACTCCACGTTTGACCTGCTCAGAGAACTTCAGTTTTGGTTCAATGAACAGTAGATGATTACCACAATAAGACAATATGCTTTTGCTTCTTCATCCCATTTTGAAGGTTATATCCAAACTTTATGAGAATATTTTATTTTGTTATCTCCAGCATTTAGGATCCCAAAAGATACTATTATATTGGGCTGTATGATTAGATCAGCGATAATATGATTGAGCCTACTGAATTACTTGTCAATATGCATGCAAATTGACAGGACATCAATGGATTAACCTCATTGTTTCCAACGTCCCAGATTAGAGATTATCCTTCTGTTTTGGCTTAACAAGTACAATGCCTTTAGTGCAAGTGCAATCTGTGCCAGGACATTTTGGATGCTTTTATGGTCCCTCCAGTAAATGGCTAATCTATAATTTTTAGGTTCTTGACAAAACTTCTCACTGTGGACTTGCCTCGATTGTTCGTGCGTCCAAAGAAGATTGTTTTGGATTTTCAGAAGGGAAAAGCAGTTGGCCCTGTGTCAGCTGGTTCACAAGCTAGAGAAACGCAAGAAGGAAACAGGGATTTCGTTGGTGAATTATCAGTGACTCTTGTGGATGCTCGGAAACTTTCTTACCTCTTATATGGTAAAATTACTTTTTCCTTTTCACTATCTGGAAACATGCCCCTCATATGCTGCACAAAGAATCTGGTTCCTTAACTTCTGATTCCTGATTAGCATCCAAGTAGTTGTATTTGTTTCTCCTCAATTTCTGTCTCTGATTATGCATCTTAATTTCTTCGCATTTGCTCTGTATCCTATCACTTTTTCACTTTCCATATTTGTATGACAATCCTGTAAATGAGATTTTCTTATAACTCATCTACAGCCACAAGTCTGATACACAAGTCCCTTCTTCTAAATCAATTGTAACTCTATGATTCAAATATCGATATTTTTTGTTCATTTACTGAAAAAGGTGGAACTGGCACATATATGTTTTGAGGTATCCATTATATGAAGCTACCGCACTTGCCCTGTTGATATTCTAAGTCATTGCATAATCAAAGCCTAGGATCTTATAGCTTTGTCATGATAATGAAACATAGAAATGCAAATACGTATCTGCATACCCCATTTGACTGGATAAGTAATGGTCCCAGCATAATTGTCTCATTTCTATTGATGACACACTTAGATGAAGACAGCTGACATCTGTTTGATTAAATAGTTTCCACTTTGATTGTTGTCTCTGCTAGGTAAAACTGATCCATATGTTGTTTTACGTCTGGGGGATCAAACAATACGCAGTAAAAAGAACAGTCAAACAACAGTAATTGGACCCCCTGGCGAGCCAATCTGGAATCAGGTGAAGCTTCTTATGTCATCTCCTCTGAGATTAGTCTGGCAATTTGGTTAATATTGAACACAAGCAACTATATGGTCTAAATTGCTGCAACTAATTAACTAATTACAGTTTCTGACTACGACAGGATTTTCATTTGCTTGTTTCGAACCCTAGGAGTCAAAAACTCATTGTCCAAGTGAAAGACTCTCTTGGATTCAGAGACCTGACCATCGGTACGGCAGAGGTAAATAAACTTTCTGTGGCTTTGAAGTTCGTAATTCACCTCCTTATTGTAAAGAGCTGCCCTTGGAAAGACTTATTGCTAAGGTTTGGGTTTGCATGATTCGTAAAACTGTATCTGAAGTTACACCGGACAAGTTAGTGGAATGGTATATTAGTGGTACAATTGTGGTTCGACAGATGGCATACAGGTGGAATAACGTAGTTAGACTAAAATAAAATATTCAAATGGGAACATTCCGGTCTAATACCGCAATAACCAGCCGATATTACCAATAATTACCAGTGTAAGTGCATAAAACTTGCTGACATGATTCTTTCATATTTTTTGTATACCGTGCCGGTCTTCATGGCGGTGTTTACGGTCTGACCGGCGGTATGATATGGTTTAATAATCCTTGTGGAAAGTGTTAGAAATTTGTTGGAGTTTCTTTAGGTATAAAGTTGATACTTTCGAGTTACCGTTCAGAGGTTGAATCTGCAAAGCATGCCTAGGCTCTACCAAAACAAACAAACAGAAATATTTGCAGTGAATCCTCTTCATTTGTGTGATTGATTTCATCTACAGGTTGAGTTGGTGTCTCTGCAAGACACAGTGCCAACAGATAGGATTGTCCTTTTGCAAGGGGGTTGGGGACTATTCGGGAAGGGATCTGCGGGAGAAGTACTGGTTCGGCTAACATACAAGGCATATGTCGAGGATGAAGATGATGACAAGGCTGTGGAGACGGAGTCGGTTGACACGGACACTTCAGATGATGAGGTGAACTCTGATGAACTCGATGTAATCTATGAACCTGCAGATCAAAGGGATTTACTAAATGGAACAGACAAAGAATCTTTCATGGATGTTCTTGCTGCCCTGATTGTGAGTGAGGAATTTCAAGGGATTGTAGCATCAGAGACGGGAAACATTAGAGCAATGGATGATCCATCGAATGGGGCCCCCACTCTTCCTAGGCCCTCAGGTATGAGTGCTGAATCAGTGCCATCTAGTTCAAGCCAGAGTTCTGAAGGTTCAGGAGGTAAAATTTTTATGTCATTCTTCATACTACGCAATCATGCAGTTGTCTTCTTAATCTTTGTACGTATATATTCTCATGATGTACCATCCTTCCGGATCGCAGGATCTGTGTTGCTGGGTCTTGCTGCAATTACAAGCATATTAGTTCTAATCTCTCTTAGTATGACGAGCGGATCAAATCTTTTCAATCCGTGAATGTACAAGGTAAAGAAGCTCTGCCTCTACTTGGTATTCGAGTTCGTGGAGCAACCAAGGTCTCTCCGCTTGTAGTAAGGACGGGCTCCATTGAGTAGAGGAAACTGATGATTCTGCTTGAAGTGTTAGCCTACTCGATCTCGTCTTGAGGTGTATATACGCCAGAGGAACGTTTTGACTGGGCAGCATAGACAATGCACACAGGAAAGTTTTGGCTTCGCAGTTAACCCTTCGGTGTTGGATACACAATTGTAGTTTTCTGGTAGGCTACGAAGACCGTAAGACTGTGCACTGTCACTTAGTTGAGTTGTTGCAGAGGTTTTTATTTATAGATGATTAAGCTGTCAATACGTGCGGAACCGGGAAATGAGAATGGGCATTGCGCAACTAGCACTGCCCCACGGACCCGACAAGCAGTTTCCCCATGTACAAAACTTCCAACACTAGGATTGTGACGGTGAGAACCATAAATAATAGAGAAGGAATAACTTTTTGGACTTATGTTACCGTAATTTGCACTTTTTGATCGACCTCATATAGAATTAGGTCGATCTAATCTGCCGTTTCAATCTTGTGGTAGAATGTAGCTTACTTCGTAGCAACTTTGAGCCTTTGAAACCTTCTAGATATCCAATATTTCATCCAATGCCTTGACTTTATAGATAAACATACCTACTTTCATGTGGTAGAGGCCCCTGCACTCGAATCTCATCCATGTTTCTCGAATTGAGCTTCAAAGCAGGCTTCACAAACATTTTTTCAGACTTAGCCATTTTCAATAGGTTTCCCAGTTTTGACATGGCCTTTTGATCAAGTTCAAAAATGGTCTTCTAACTTCCTATCGAGCTCCAAAGCACTTTAATGTGTAGAAAGACACTCCAGCTTCAAAACAAGCCATTAATCTCCAATTCCCATCAAGCCAATTGTAAGATATGAATCTCCAAAGTAGCCACTATGAAACTGTTTTTACGTTTTACAATGAAACAACATATTAGGTTGACCTAATCCTAACTGAGGTCGATCGAAAAGTGCAAGTTACGATAAAATGAATGTCACCATAGGCGCACCCTAACTTTTTTTACTTGGTACTCTTGAATCACAAACTACAAACCGTGCCATATAGCAGTAGATGAATTTTGTGTGTGTTCCTAGACTTGGCGATCGGGTTGGCGGTTGCGGGTTGTAGCTGTAGGTCGTAATGGGTGGGCCATGTTTAGTTAGGTTGATTTTAGGTCATATATTGACTCAACCAAAGTCTTTTGGATCGAATTCGGGTAATTTCAAGTCATGAGCATTCTAAAATACGTGAACAAATATGATTTAATTTTAGTCAAAGAATACAAATTTGTTATATGTATGATATTAGTTAATAGACGGTATTGTCTTATGTGCACTCACTTTTTTTACTACATGCTGTGCACCATCATTATAATTGTCATTCTAAGTATGTGACTTGTGTCAAAATGGTGTCAATTGTCACTTGTGATATGAATATGATAGATAAGTAAATACATGAATTGTGCAAAAGTCATTCCCGAATTACTTTTGTTTGAAGGATCTATGGTATAGGGTAATGTATGTATTAGTTGTAATCCTATGTTATATGATCATATTAGATTAATGCTACCAATTAAAATTTAAAAATCGATGTCTTAGAGCTAATATTATAGTGGGGTGCATAGTCTGCACTCATTTTTATGGGTGCAACATAGAAGTCACCGCCAATTGACATATTTCTAAATGCTCACATATTATTGAAAGGAAATACTAATCGCACAAAACACTAATGAAAGTGTCGTCAAGCATAGCAAAAGAAAGGTTGTCACATCGTAAGTTGCTAATTACTCAATTCAGATCACTCATTTCGAATATAGGTGATTTAGAGGCACAGAGTTGCACGATAGAGATGCATCTTTTCTTGGGGACAAACATACTTGAGTGTGGAGGATTGATAACACCTAATTTATGTGAATTCCGTACCCCTAATGTAGTTAAAATCGGGATTTTACGTAAAATTGAAAACTGTGGTAAAATCGAAGTTGTAGAATAAAATTGGAAAATCGTAAGAGTTTAAGGTTCATATTAAAATTGACACGAGCACTTCTACTATGCTCTAAAGTATGGGTGCTTTAATGTACAATTTGAAGTTGTACCATAACGTTAAATGTATAAGTTCGGGTTGTACCATAAAGGAATTTGTACCCTTATGTTATGGTACAACTTTGCAACTTAAAGTTGTACCATCACATAAATGTACAAGTTCAAGTTGTACCATGAAAGAATTTGTACAAAAGAGTATAGGAACAATCTAAAGTTGTACCATAACGTTAAATGTATAACATCAAGTTATACCATAAAGGCAAAACCTATAGAACCAATGCTATATAGCATACTTAAATTCCTCAAATTGACACATAAAATGACTTATAGTTATAACAATAAATATCATGAATAACAATCAACCACATATCACTTTATTACTTCTCAGGATAAGTTTCTATGCTAAACAAATGCAAATAAATACATACACTTCTTCTTGTACATGACATAAACACACAAATAAGCAACCTGAAACCTCGTAGAAATCACTTAATATAGGAAATAGTTAAGAGTACAAAATCAAATGAGATAGGATCAATATTAACATATAAGTCCTCAACATCATCATCATTATAACCCTCACTCTCATCCTCATAGTGTCCTTGTCTATTTGTTTGGGCAACGATATCATGATTCTCTTGATCCCTTGAAGTGCTTTCAACTCCAACTATATTTCTTTGACCACCATCATCCAACAAAGATAAATGATTGATTGATGCATTTTCATGTTGATCGAGCACTTGATCATCCTCGATTTCATTGAAAACCCCATCTCAAGCAATTCATTCGCCATTATATTCTATATCCTCAAATGTACTTTTAATCTTTCTACATTTCCTCTGCATAAGCTTTGAGTCATACACTACATAGATAAGGTCACCAGTGACAACGAGTAGTAAAGGAGGACAAACAGGATGGCAAGGTTTGAGTTGGTGGCGCTAAAGGTTTTGGATAAAATGAACAAACAAGAAGATAATTAGAATGAGGATTGGGCTAATTGCAAGGGTTATGAGGGAACAAGTAAAGAGTTCATTGAGAGGTTAATTGAGGAAAAGGTTGATGTGGAACAAGCGACAAGCTGTGAGTATTCTGTTGGGATGGGCGTCACCGTGCGAAAGAGGAAAAGAGGAGGAAAATTGAGAGTCTCTTCTCGGATTAGGATTTTGACTCGCACTAACAACTTCCCAATCGAAGGCCATGCATAACCAACGATCGGGTGTAGCATAAGGTAAGCAAGTAATAAAATTTTCGAACCACAGGTCTCTAGATATACCTTACTTTGGCTTAAGTTTTGTTATCTATCCAACCAAGAATAGTGATTGTGACTAAACTAACTACACTAATCTAACCACTACCATAGTTAATTACAAGTTTGGGAGCTCTCTTAGGCTTGAATCCCCCTATCTCCTCAATCGGATCGATGTTGAGTACTATCCTAGGTTGATTGACTCTATATTTCTACCACGGATAATACTAGACTAGATTGGAGCCCCTATTCGAGTGCATCCAATCCCTCTCAATTGTGCTACCCCGAGAGGCATATCAAACAACTAGTGAATGCAATTGAGGTATTTACAACTGATTCCCACGATTGGGCAAGACCCACTGATAGCACTATATTTGCACATGTTTTTTTCTTCGTTTTTCTTGATTGTTTAGCTTTGCAATTGATCGTTCTTTGGCCTATTTTATGTTTGGTTGTGTTCGTTTGTGATATTTCAGGTCCTAGTACGCGAATGAAAGTTTAGGAACGAGTTTGGGACGATTGGGAGAAGTTTGAGAATTTTGACAAGGGCATAGGAAGTTTGCACGGCCTAGAATATAGTTTGCAGGACCGTGCCAAGTTTCCATGAAGTTTGCACGGGCAAGGGTGGGATTTGCACGATCGTGCGATGCCTGTACACAGCCGTGTGATGCCTGTGCACTTCCCCTCATTGAAATCAAGTGAAATGGTATGTTTTCCTTTGCACGGGTTGTGCATTGGTTTGCATGACCCTGGAAATAGGGGGTTAAAATTTTAGCTTCGGGTATAAAGGTTGTTTTGCCATTTTTGGAGAAGGAGAGCTGGGTTTTAGACCTCAAACACACAATGGACGTACAAAAGATAGAGAGCGATTTGAGGGCGATCTTGGATCAAATTGGAGGATTTCTTCGCCTTGGAATCTCGAGGAACAAGCCAAGACATGAAGATCTGGAAAGTTATATTGTACTCTCTCTCTTCTCTATGAAGTAAATTCCCTTCACTTAGGTTTTGAGGAACCCTAGATTTGTATGCTAGGAAGAGTCATATGAACTCGAATTCATGATTAATTTATGTTTTATGTTCAGTTGAGGTTTTTATTCAAAATTCGTTGAATCTTGATCACATTCATGCAGTTTTAGCTTTGACCTAGAATGATAGTATTTTGCATAGGTTAATAGAGAAACTTGAATTGGAAGTGGTGAGTTGATTGTGCGAGAGTCAATCGATACACTTCTGCGTACTGGTATAAAACCCTGTAGAGCAAGTTTGAATCTTATTTCCTTGGTTAGGTTATTCCAGTGGAGGTTAGTCACCCGCTAGGTAATCTATTGAAGAGGGTCTAGAAAACTTTAGTCGAGACTCCAGACTGTTTAAGAACTTTCCTTGGTGAAATGTCAGCTGAATTGAATTGGGTGAATACTTGGCGTAACTGCAATCCAGGGGGAATCATATCTAAGTGAGTTTCCAACCTGTAATTAGATTAACTTTAACTATAGTTCTCTAGAGTAGTTATAGTTCTTCTATCTTAATCTGGTTTGCTATATAATAAACTGAAGCTAAGTAATAGTAATTCTAGAGACCCGTGGATTCTATATTTACTACTTGTGTCACTATACTATAGTCTCTTTCATTGGTTACACTTGGACATTGTTAGGAC